TTAGTCAATTCACATTTTTTCTCCTTTATTTTGTAGCAATGAAAAATTGTGACTAAAGAGATGACCTTATAATACAATTCAAATAACAATTTGCCAATGACAACTCGCCAACTTTCTGGTTCTTCTACATGGTATTATTTAGACAGCTAGGTAGGCTTCTCTCTAGAATGTACAACTCTGTAAGCTTAGAGGACTGTTAAATTGTGAAACAAAAATCATTTCTGTAATGAACACTGGCAAACCTATCTGACTTACAATGTAGAGAACAAATAACTTGCTTTCATATTACACTTAGCAGCTTGCAAACATTTCCACACACATTATTTCAATGAATCCTCACAACAATCCTGTGGAGTAAAACAGGCATAACCATGACACAAAATACTATCTAGAACTAAGATGAGAATGGGTCACAAACCAAGAAGAAAACTGCTCTTACTCTTAATTAAGCTTTCCTGCTTCAAAGAATCAGCACAGAATTAGATCCTCCTACTTTAGGATTCTAAATGAAAATTTAGCGATATTAAGAAAACGGAATACTTTTTGAGTTCAATATAATATACTTCAATATAATATACTTTTTTTGTTCAATATAATTAACAACTATGTGAAAAACAGCCAGGCCACACCTCCACTTCAATGCACATTCTTTTTTTTTTAACCTTTTAGTGGTTTTTCACTATCAATAAAACTCCTAAACAGAGACTACCAAATTTTCCTACCAGATTAGAGTGAACCTTACAAACCAAGAAATAGAATTTTCTGTAAGTTCTCTATTAGGCTAATAATGAATGTGCACTGATCTAATACCTTAAATATATTTTCAGACCTAACTTGTTGACAGGGGCTCAATCTGGTGCTATCAGGGCAACTTAGTGGCAATGGACAGAGTACCAAAACAGAAATAATTACTCTGCTGTGACTTTTCGTTTACTGCCTGCTGTCCCTCAGAGACAGCAAAATCAGACCATGAAGAGCCATACTAAGGGATCTGGATTTTATTCTTTAGCCAAAAACTATTTAAGAGTTCTAAGCAGAGAACTGACAAGGTGACTATTAGAAAGCCACTTGGGGGAACATGGGGACCCCGCGTGGCTATCAAGCAACTCAAGCAAAACAAGGTTGGTTGAAGGGTAGTTGACCGCAGAAAAGGAACAGACTCAGTGTCCAGATTCTTGGCAAGCTTGACCTTTGAGCCCTCTTACCATTTACCTCCTTGTATTAAAATTTACTTAAACTCTTTTGAGGCTCAGTTTCCTTAGTAATGCCTGTAAAACCCTAGAACACAGAAAATACAAAAAATTGTGATACATGAAATGCATCTGCAAGATTTCCATGGACTGACTTCCTTTTTCTTTGACATTCCCCAACACAATTCAAATAACAATTTGCCAATGACTCCATCAAGAAACAATTCCTGGTTCTCCAAAACTTAAGGTAAAACAACTACTCCTAAATATCCAGTAAGCAGGGTGTTTTTCTCAAGTTAATAAGAAGTCTAGTTTGCACTAGACTCAATGTTTTCACATGCATTTTTTTTTACTTCTTCTGTGTTTATAAGAGAACATAAGTAAAGTCTTGTAGTTAAATCCTGATAGACTGTGGTGCTACTACCAATTATTTTAAATTTCTTCTGTCAATATTCTGATTTAAAACAGTATTACAGTGTAGCACTCATTCTGACAGCACTGGGATGACAGTAAACTAGGCACTACATGTTCTTTTATAAGGTCTGCATTATAGATACTAATTTATATATAGCTTTCCCTTAAACTTAATATTCTTTCAACAAAAGATGAACCAACCTGAAAATCTATCATATTCAATCACTCAGTATTACTAAGCAGGTGCTACCAGCAAAACAATGTTTGAGGCACTGAAGAGCATCCTTACCCACAACGAATTTATAATCCAGTGACACGGGTAGGTATTCATACATGTAAAGAAAGGAGTGATGCAGACAGAAGTACAAATATTAAAAATATCACTTTCAGTAGGGTGGTGAGAGAATGGAATTTGAACTGGACCCTTGGGTTAACAGAATGTTGAGAGAATTTGTTAAGAAAGTAAGCGGGCCCTCCCTGGTGGCACCACAGGTTAAAGCGCAGCACTACAAAACTGTCCACAGCCACTGCAGCACAAGTTCCATCCCCAGCCAGGGAGCTGACCCACATAGCACGGCAGACCTCTCCTGTCATGCCCGCTGCCTCCCTCAGCAGTGTATTTCAGTACACCTACCAGTTCTGCTCCCTACTCTGTCTCTGGTGAGTCCTCTCACCCCACCCCGCGCCCCGCACCTCTGGCCTGTACCCCAGTTCTTGTATGCATAAACAAATAACTCTTAAAAAAAAAAAGCAAGCAAGCATAAGAAACCAGAGAACAGCATGAATTTATGTGCTAAGTACTGTTCAAAAAAGCTCTTTAGTATGAAAATTTAAACAAGTGAAAGTACACAGAATAAAATAATGCATTCTATGTACATTATGAGCTTCAACAACTATCAACTCACAGTCTATCTTGTTTCACAATATACATATCTTATGTGAAAACCTTAAAGGAACCTATTTTCATGTTTTACATTCTTTACTGACTCCATTCTCAGACAAATCTATAATGTCACAGTAGTTTCCACATGGTTGATTTTTCCTAAAGGCCAGAGACAAATAAAATGCAAGTCTATTTAAAAAAAAAAAAAATCAATCAACTCCAAGGGAACAGGGACAAAGATAGCAAAATGATAGATAATCCCAAGTCCATTTACATACACTTAAGGAGTATGTTTACATTGCAATGAGAGTGAACAAAATAACAGGAAACTTCATGCCAAACAAAATAAAGCATCACAGGTAAAGTATCTAACACAAATCACTTGGTCTCCCGAGCCTGTATCATCCTCTATAAACAGGGAAGAGCATCTACCTGAAAGGCTTGTGAGAATAAAGTGAGTGTAAATTAAGTGCCACAGGAGTAGTCCCTTGTGTTAATACAGAGGTGACTCATGCAGGCCTAGAAGGTTGCCTGGTTTCCCAATCCTTCCCCTCATCCCCTCATACACCACCACCCTCTCTTAAGATGACACTGGCGCGCTCTCCATCTCAAAGCATGAGGAGCTAAGCATTCTAATTACAAGTTTCTTTTCCTGTAAAACAAATGAAGGGAACTGAGGTTGAAGGAAGTGTTTTAGTAGGATACATCTTGTAGACTAATTTCACAAAATAATGCCCCAGAATTAGTAGAGTGAACACCAAATGGGGTAGTGTATGACCACGCCCACTCAACACCTCATTCTCATTTCTTGGCCACTTGTTTACTCTTTCCACATCTGAGACAGTAACAACAGTAGGGCAGCCATAAGACCTCACGTGAGAGCCTAACTGGATAAGCTCGAGATGAGTCGAGATGAGTTAGTTCCCACAAAGCATGACAGGACCACCTTCGCCTTCATTTCCTACTCTGGCGTAAGAAAATGCTCCTAACACTTGCTCCTGAGAGGCAGTCAAACTGTTGTGCTATCACATCAAACACCTTTTAAAAATACATATGCTGTCACAACTGCTCACCATGGCTTTAACTCTTCCTATAGCGTCTTTCTTTCAACCTCTCAGTTATCTTCTTTAAGAGATTGTGTATACGGAATACATCACTGAACTTCCTTTTCAATTATCATCTTCAATCACTAATCTTCTTTCCATATGTGCTGACAAAATGGGTTCAACTCTCACACTTTACAGTTTGCCAAATGCCTGGTAGAGTTCTTTATCCACTCCTTGCAGTCTACAGAAATGGTAATTTCCCTATTTCGTAGGTATGGAAAAAGGAAGAGCACTTACTAGGTTGTGCCTGTCAAGAAGCATATTAGGGGTGAATGGGACCTCTGGACCAAGCCTGCCAATTCCAAACACATGGCTCCCACTCTAGCCTACTCTACTCTGAGGAGAATGCCTACGGTTTGCCCCAAACCACATTTCCTTCCGAGAGTAACCCATCTTCCAGCAAGCTCTCTAGACTGCAGCCAGATTTCCCTCTCCCCCACACCGACAATCTTCCTCTGTTTGCTACCAGGACCTCCACCCGTGAATTCCCACCAATCTCCACTCCTCACGGATGGGGTCAAGCTCTCCAGCAAACATTTCACCTCTGCATGCCACACCTTGGCACTCCTTTCTCAGGATAGGCAGGTTCTCTCACTCCATAAACTACCTAGTACGCTTCCCGGTCCTTAACAAGCTACTCAATCACTTTAAAAGTCCCATAAAAATGGGCATAATCGCCTTGCCGACCCTCCACCTTCATACTTTATTCCGGGCCACTTCACATGCAACAGAACAAAGTCCCAAACCCCTAGAGTCTGCCAAGGCCCACTGTCACCAAGGGCCTCCTCAGAATCTGGCTATTCAGAAAGGCTCCCCGTCCAACCTCTCCACCCCGGACTCCCCCCCAAAGCCCGAAGACTCTCGCCTCGGCCTCTCACCGCCCCACTCACTCGCTTCAAGGCCCCCATCCCAGCCGAGCCGCCAGCCCAGCTGAGGCAGCTTCTCGTTCTCAACTTCCAAGTTCGGCCTCTTATCACCTGTTCCCAATAGAGCGCCCCTCGTCCAGAGCCCACCTCTGCCCTCGGCCGCCTCTCGATCTCCAGCGCCTCCCGCCCGGGAGCCGCCCCCCAAGTCAATTCCGGGGTGCCGGAGGATTCAACCTCCCATCCGTGGGATCCGCACCCCCGGGGTCAAACAGCCCTTCTCCATCACCTGCTCCGCCCCTGCCCAAATGACATCCGCCGCGGCCTCCTCTGTCTCCCCGTTCGGACGCTGGTCCCCCGGCACTCACCGCCTCCCTCGAGCTCCGGCCGCCCCCTCTGGTGGGGGAGAGGGGGGCGTGCACCCCCAACCCGCGGCCCCCCCAACCCGCACCTGTTCCTCCTCCTCTTTCCCCAGCTCGCCGGCCGCGCCAGCGCCCCGACTACCGCCCTCGCCGCGCCCCGGGGCCCGCGGCCCCGTACTCACCACGAGTAGGTCTGCTCCGCCATGGCGCTGACTCTCGTGGGCTCCGCTGCAGGCTCTGCCAGGCCCGGCGGCGGCGGGTGAGCTCGGGCCGGGAGCGGAAGGCGCGGCTGGGGCCCGGCGCGCG